CATCACCATCACCATCACCATCACTATCACCATCACCCTCACCATCATCACTATCACCATCACCATCACCATCATCACTATCACCATCATCACTATCATCACTATCATCATCACTGTCATCATCACCATCACCATCACCCTCACCATCATCACTATCACCATCACCATCACCATCATCACTATCACCATCACCATCACCATCACCATCACCATCATCACTATCACCATCATCACTATCATCACTATCATCATCACTGTCATCATCACCATCACTATTACCATCACCATCACTATCATCACTATCATCATCACTGTCATCATCACCATCACCATCACCATCACCCTCACCATCATCACCATCACATSATTATTACTGTACCTGCATGTTTTTGTTATCAATATCCATACAACAGCCATACCAATAAGAACTCCAAGTGCAACAAAAAGTGCTGAAAGAGAAACCACTATCTTAGAATACATTCACAACGCAATAATAACAAGAGTAAGATACTTACGAAAATATGTTTGCATCCCCTCATTTGGATATTCATCAAATGAACATGTTAATTTATCCTCTTCATCTACAGTGCGGATACCAATCTGATATTTTTTATACTCTTGAAAATGGTACGACTTTAAACTGTGAAAAGAAAAAAATGTTAGTAAGTGGATAGATGAAATTGCATGGTAGGATGAATGGATGGATTACAGTGGGATGCATGGAAATGGTACCCTGATTTAATAATAATATAATAATAATAGTTTATTATTTGTATTGCACAATTTAACATGTTAATATGATCAACTGCGCATTACATATAGGTACACTAAAATACAAGGCATAAAATCTCTAAAAAACTACAAAAAGAGTATATAAAAGATTTAATAACTAAGGTCCAGTTTAGACGTCGAATCCCGCACGCGCCGAATCCAATGCAGACAAACCATTTAAATAATGTGTAATGATTTAAATAATTTGTTCAGACAAGATTCAGCATAAACAGGATACAGCCTGATGCAGCATGCAGGAAAGTACTTACGTGCAGTTCATATTTGTCTTTGTCTGTATGAATAATTTAAAGGGATGCTTGGTGTCCAATATAACGTATGCATATTGATAAGCATTCTGCCGTAAAACTTGATAATCACACTGAAAATAAATAAAATAAGTGATCATACTTTAAGACATGCCTTTGAATGTTATTGTCACTAGATTATAGATAAACATAGTAGTATGACCCTATGAAATTAACATCCCTTAACCCATAACAGCATGAAGGATTACTGGTCACTGATTGCATGGCATATCACTTGGGGGAGGGGGAGGGGAAAGTGGGCATGCATGATCTAACATTTTCAAGTCTTAACTTTAAAAGGGTGTCCAATTTTTACTTTTTGTAGAAACTGATTCTGATTCTAGCAAAAGAATTTTTAGTGCATAACTTCCAACTTGTGCTTGTGTTAGGCCACTATCAATACTGTCTAAGATAGGGTTATAATTCACAGTGTTGTGTCTTGCACAGGGTATGTTTTTCCATGTTATTCACATGTCAGGGTTTTCAGATCCAAGCAGCACATCCCTATCACTGAATCAATCCTAGTGACCCCTGCGGTATATCAGTAACATGAAATCCCCAAAAGTCATAATTTATAAATAGCTCTAATTCCATGCTACGCACAATGAATATTGATGCTCACCTGATAACAATTAGAGGATACTCCTGATATACTGAAATTTTTTGAAAACAAAGTATTCGTAATATTTACTAATGCCGTATCCATCTTAAACTTGCCATTCCACGGTCCTTTAGGCTGATCATAAGGGCCATTAGCACCTCCTTGCACTAAGACCTTCTCTATGTTCACTATTAATATTTTTAAGAACAATTCATTAAAAAAAAACAATCCAATTTCTTGTTTTGTTCCAATAATAAGCTTACTTAACTCATAAAAAGTAGAAAAAATTTCATAGAAACGAGGAAAATGAAAAGAGGAAATAAAGAGACAGAAAGAAAAGTACAGTATAGTAAGCCTAGCTTTTTGAATAAAGCTTTGGCTAAAATGTTGCTAACCGCATTTCACAAACAAATTATTAATTATAAAAACAATTGCATTTAATATCCGTGCTGTTAATAATACTTGTTCTTTAAAACTGGCAAAGATAAAAGGTAAAGTAAAACAAGGCACAATAGAGGTACTACGCCACAAGACAACAGGAAGTGCTAAAGATTTCACGTGATCCGAAGTCAAAATATATCGAAGTATAGAATACAAGAACACAACAAAACGAACAGAATAACAGGCTACCAACACCAGTACTTGGTAAGAACGGGTATGATATTGTATTATAAGGTTTACCTGTAAAGATAGCCAAGTAAATAGCTAATAAAACAGTCACAGATGACACGGCCATAACAGTGAACAACAACATCCAAGCATCATACAGGGACGTGAAGGACTGAGAACCAATAACCACAGGGACCCCAACAACAGGGACCCGCCTTTAAAAGCGTGTCAACTTTTGTCCGAGTTTTCGAGTTCATAAAGTTTTTACTTTATCATGACATGTCAAAGCGGTCTAGGATATGGGACAAGAAGTTCATCAGGCCGTGAATGACGAACCCTGATCCCACAGATCTGTGATAGTTACAGAAGTGTTAGGACCAAAACCTTCTCTGCTTTGCTGTTAGTGCCCGGATCAAACCCGATGATGCTTATTTTGTCGAGTATGGGAGTCAGATTAGGTTTTAATTGTTGGCAATTTTTCTTTCTTTGATTAAGTGTTGTATTTGAATGCATTTCTCGAGCGGGTTTAATAGTTACACTCAACTTCATAACATGATCATAGTGAAAGTTTATATAAAGCACTCTGAGTAAAAGATCAAAATATCAAATAGAACGGGTAAAAATC